TCCAGTTTCTTGAACATGGTTTGTTGCTCATTGTTATTTTATTTTGCTGAATATTTGTTCTTGGTTTTGGAATCAATGTTCTTTTCGTTATTAGTATATTTTATTGGTCTTGTGGGGTTGTCTTAAATTTCATTTTTTTTATCTCATTTTTGCTCTTTAAACTTTCTTGATAACATTTGCTATTTTTGTCTTGTGAGGTAGTCTTAGATTAAATTTATGATCTGGGTGGTGTTTGACATTTGCTTGTTTATATCATTTAAGTTGTCTTAAATTTTATTGTCTGTGGAAGTTGGAAGGAGGACTACAGTGCTTGGGGTTGGATGCAAAAAAACTCCATTTCATTCCATGTAAACAAAAATTAATTTTCTGCCTTGGTTTCAGGCTGTTGAAAAGTTCAGTTTATTGGAAGGAAAGAAATCAAGATCAAGAAAATAACCTATAGCTGATCGCTTTGCGCACTCTGCATTGGATTCTAGGAAGAATTATGTTCCTACTGAACTCTTCACTATTATATTGGTAAGATGTTTGTCTGTATCTTCACCGTGTCTGTGACTGTCACTGTTATTTTCATTGTCTTCTCCCTTCTCTTCACCTTTACTCATTTGCATAATTGGATCATATTCTGATGTATCGATCCCTGAGCAAATTGTTTCTGATGCGTCCTCAATTTCTGTTTCAGCGTTTTCAAATTTTTTCTCTTTATAGACCACTAATTCCAATTTGTTATTTTCTTTCATCTCCTAATTTGCAGAATTTCCCTCATTTGTTACTTCGACTCCAATAGTTCCTCATGCTATCTTTTCTTTTCTTTTTTTTTTCTTTTTTTCATCTTTTTCATTTGTGAACAGTGTCAGTTAATCAATATAAATTTTTGTTCACCTACAGAAGATAATATCCCATGAGGAAAAAGTTTGTTAATTTTTTCTTCTTGTGAATCAATCTTATTAATTTAATGCCTTGAAAATATATCAATTCGTAGAATGTTGTCTTCAGGTCGTGGTGGCATACAACACACTTGTAAGTGTTTCATTTTCTTCATTTCAACCTTTCTATGTTATGAGAGTTGTAAAATTCTATTACTATGCACTAACCGCAAAGAGTCATGTTCATATAATGCATAACATGATGAATGACTGAAATTCTTAAAATCTACAATCAATAACGTTAACCAGAAGAGATCTCAGGGATACGTGGTCCCATTAAGTGAAGCCCACTTTATAGACTTGTGCAATTATATATTCAATCAAATTTCCATGAAAATAGCACTTCCCTATCACATTAGTAAAATGCTTTCGAATTAATCTTTGCTACATCCTTATAAAATTACCACCATCCTGGGTATTGAAAAATGGATAAATTCGTAGTTAAATAACCGGTGTTCACATCTTTTTCCATTTTAAAACAAATAGTCTCTTGCATATCTTGTTTATTTTTTGCCATGATTTTATCAATATGAGCATCCTCAATGTCGTCATCATCCTTGGTTAAGTCAATTTCTTCTTCACGATTCTGTGTTTCATCTTTCAGCTTAGGTTCGAGAGGCAATTTATCATCAAGTGTTGTCATATGGTATTCTCCCTTAATAACTATTAAAGAGCTATGAGCAATAGGCTTCTCATTCTGGAGACTAGAGAAAGACACTTCAAATGGTTTGCAAATCTGAAAAACTGAGCATTCTCCCTTAGCCGCCGTTTGAGCCCCGTTATATCTCTTTAAATTACATTTTCAACCCAACATATTTGACCAAGGTGGGTGTAATACTCCGAAATTTTATGCTTGTTTAAATTTCTTTGGGATAGCGATTTAACTTTCAATACTATTTTTGGCCATAAGGTAAAAGGGGACACTACCTTTGTAGTGGTTAATGTTAGAGATAGTTAATGAATGTAGGCATGAAGTGTCAAAGGTTGTGTATGTATGAAGTGATTATTAGTTAGTCGAAACTTAAGGCAAGTTTGGATTTGAATGAAGTGAATTATTTTGTTAGGACTTCAATTGACCAAACGATTAAATTATTTTACAATCTACAATTTTTGAATATGTAAGTTGGGTATAAGTTTAAATTTGGGGTACACTTTGTTAACAATGAATGTTAGCGGGTTTAGATTATATTAGTTGAAAAGATGAGAGGTTTCCTTTGTAAATCTAGGTTTGAGGCCACTTATTATCCTATAATCAACCCACTTGTCATCCATCATCACCATACACTTAGACAATAGATTAAACATGTGTATAAGCAAGAAAAAAAAATGAAAGAAAGAGAGGTGAGACGGTGGGATGGAAAGAGGAAGAAAAAAATATCAATCATTTATCCTTATCTTTATATATATATATATAAACACATCCATATCCATTGCCATAGAAAGATTTCCTTCATTTTACAAAACACTTATACACTTAAAAAGAGAGCAAAAACCGAAAATAAGAAAGAAAAGGGAAGGAAGTAAGACTAGCACTTCTAATTTACATCTCAACCGAAGATCTTCAAGTTTTACGGTAAGATACTTTCCATGCTTAAGAGTTATGATTTTCATGATAATATTTATACTTAAACTATGCATGAAAAACCACAATATGATTATGGTGGACAAGTCCACAAAGTTAGATATCTATTTATGCTTTAGGACAAGTCCGAAGGGCACCGGCAAGCCAGAATGTGCAAGTATGAGTTTGATTGCATTCTTTTGTGTAGTATTATCATGATAAAAATCCAAGCATGGTATCTTACTGAGTATTTCTTATACTCATAGTATGTTATGCTAAATTTTCAGATCCATGATCGTTGAATTGACGGGAGTTAGTTGGCTTAAGCGATGTTGGATTAAGGACAGATGTTTTGTACCGAAAGTTTTCTTTTGTATGTTTTGCTCGATGACTGTTTTTCCATTTATTTTTCTTATGGTACTATGTAAAAAATATGTATATGACATGATTTAATATGGTATTAATAGTAAATTTTGTAATTATATCCCTCATGTTATGTTAAGAGACGTTTTTATAGTTTATTTTCCTTGCAAGTGATAAAAGGTAGAAACGGGACAGTTTCTGGAGTCATTTTCAAAATGATGTTTCTAACTCTATAAACATCCATTTGAAACTCTAAAAATATGTCTGTTTTCCTCTTTTAGTTTTCTAAATATGGCCGAAGGAATCACTCAATTTGGATATCTATGGCCTGAGTTATCAAGGTTTTAACGTCAAGGGGTCAATCTGGATTTCCTGTGTAATACTACACTGTTTTCAGTAAAACGTCTATATCATATGATCTTGGAAAATCTTCATATTTTAACCTAGAAAACTACTTGAAATTATCTTTCTAATGCCACAAATTTCATAGAAAACGGAGTTGGGATGAATTTTATAAAAATTGTCAAATTTGTTGCCTCAACTAATCTTGATAATGCCGAGGCCGTATATGTAAAGTATAATTTATTGTTGACATGCACTTTTGCCGGCTATCAAATTTTATAAGAATTATTTTACCGGGTTGAAAATAAGTTCTTAACATGAAATACTTCTATTTAAGAGTATTTACATGTACCAAAGGCAGAATCTATTATGTTTAGTACGTGACCCTCGAAGTTTAAGTTCGGGGTGTCACAGTGGGCCCACGTCTGGGTATTTTAAATCTCATGGCAGAGGATATTAAATGGAAGTGACCAGTGACCCTCCAATTTCCCTGCGCATTTACATAATTATGCTCCCAATGCATTGTCCCTGATTTGACACATAATATTTGTACGGTTGTTATGGTCTTTTTAGTCTCTAGTATAAAATTTTAAATTGTTTATACTAACCACCAAACCCCAAGAAGCCTGCAACTGTCAGTTGGAATGGATGTACAAGGCCCATATATGGTTGAAAAATTTGGCAAAAAATGAGATTTAATGAGTTTTAATGGGGCTCGAACGAGTTACAGACACTTTTCTACCAATTTCTCTGCCAGTTGACAGTTTGGTAATCTTTTGCCAACCATACTCAAATTTTCATTTTGGAATTCTCCCTTTAGTCATGTGGCCTGTGCAAAAAAAAAAAAAAAACTCTCGAAATGATTTATTCAGATATTGTTGACAGTAGAATATCTGCATTCAAGTTTAGTTCTGCACCGAGACCTTGCAGTACATTTATGAATACTGCTCTAGTAATTTATTTATGTTTCTTGGAAAATGATTTTATGAATTGATTTTCTGGTGAAGTTAAATAATACTTGAGAAAGCTAGATACATTATTTTTTCTTGCCAGACTTTAATAATACTTAAATAATTAAATTGTCAAACTTGAGTGTAAGTTCTTTTGGAAAATTATGTTGTCTTTTTTTCTTGCCTAGGTAGTTGGAACTCCCAATTACAAGTTAACTCATAAATGATGCTTGTGATTTTGAATTTAATACTTAGTCCCTTGATATGTCATATAAAGTTGCTACATAATTTACTTTCTTTCATTTTACTTAGCCTATCGTTTCTTTCACATATGTCATATTAACCAAATTTAATCGTTGTTCTTGCAAATTTTCCCCAAGGCAATATTTGTACATTTTGCCACCAACTTTAACTTGATACACAATCACCGTCTCTAAATTTATTAGCATATTTATGAATTACACATACTGTTTAAAATGCGAAAGTCAGTGATTTGTACATTTATACTGAATATATTATGGTCTATGTTAGAAGGTTCATCTTTAGCACATGTTTTTCATTGTGAAACCATGTGAAGCACTACAAGTCACCTAGAAACTCATGTCATTTATGCTCTTTACAACTTTTTAACCATTTGTCTAATTCGCTACTTTGTTTTACCACAATCAATGTTAGAAACTTATTTCTAGATTATAAATTAAAAATGGCATTAAAAAATTAAAATACTAATAAACACATCATTAAAAAAATGCATCGAACATGTATTATGTAATGCTTCTTAATTGTTATGTACTTTTTAAGATTTTGCTCGGAGCAATTATTGACCATTTGTAGCTATGGTCAAGTAAAGGAGATCGATGATAGTCTTTATATTATACAAATCATTTAGCACTATAAGAGGATCTTTAGTAAATACATCACATTTATTATGAAGGGCTCAATGAACATTTTCAAAAATTAAGTACTATGAGATAAAAGCATAATTGTTTTACTAACTATTTTCACAAGCTAGAAATATAAATAATTTGCAACTTCAAGAGTTTCCTTGTTGGGTTGAAGTTTCATCTGGCTCAATTTCCATTGAATGTGAAATGCAAGTCATATACATTATCTCTAATATTGGACAAATTGACACACACGTTGCACCTGTAGAATTTCACGAGAAAATAAATAAATTAGTTTGTGTTGCTACAATTATTGAAGTTGATTTTTCCTGTAATTAATTTATAATATACTCAGAGGCTAAAGATAATTCACACTCTTTCTAGATTGGACAAATCAACCCCTCCAAGTTGCAAAGGAAATAGCTTACTTTCACCTCCTCCGTATGCTCCAAGATATTAATTAATGATAGTTCAAATAATAATAATGTTTTTGTTATGATAATAATATAATTCTTACGAAAGTAAAGTTGAACAAGATTCAAATAGAATTAAGACTCGATAGGGGATTGAATGAGCATCAATTCAAATTGTAATTAAACAAAATAAATGTAAAATAAGTCAATATTCAAAGCTGAAATATACTTACAGAAAGACCAATGTCAATAATATCTGAAATCCTCATCTATACTTCCATCTTGAATATGTGACAAATCTAATACCTGAAATAATTCAATTGAAGTTAAATCTTACCATTCCTTTTTTTTTTAATACTTCGAAGATAGTTCAAATCATTCTAATATTTATGTAATGATAAGAAAACTTACAATAGTAAAGTTGACGAAGATCCAAATAAAATTAGGAATTGATAGGACAATAAATGAGTATCAAGTTGTTGAGGGTGGATGCTCTTCTTCATCACAACCTAATAAAATTTATACAAATTCCATAAGGCACTCGAACCAATTCCTAGCTATAACTATTTTAGCACACTAGCTAACCTAAGAAAGGATAATATAATTAATTGAAAAATAAATACTTTGGTAAACATTTAATCGAGAAATCTCTGTTATTTGACAAAATTAAAGGACAACCTCATGCAAACTCTTTTTATCTATTAGTAACAGAAATCAATTAAAACCACCCTGTAGCAATATTTAGAACATACACTAACCAAAATTAATAAACAATCAAGTCAATATTCAAACCTTAAATATACTTACTGGAACACCAAACTTCACCAATCTTCTACATAGACACATGAGGAATATGAGAAATTTTGGGCCACTTAGAATCAGGACCGCTTTCTGCCCTGCATCTCTCTGCCAATAAAGGACATGACCAAATATTTAATTGTTTTAATTTGGTGAGTCGTTGCATAGCTTCTTTAGAGGGCAGGTGCCTAAGCTTTTGACGGTTCGCTACTATTAGTTCTTCAAGAGATGACAAATTTCCAAACCAATCAGGCCAGACTTCCATTCCAGAAGAATATATATGCAAACCTTTTAGGGAACTGAGATGTTGAAGCTGATCTAGTAGAGAGACCCAATCTAACGAACAATCTAAGGATTGTATACTTTCAAGGAATTTCATGCGTTCGATGCCGTTGATAGAAGATTGAAATGAATGCAATTGCATTAAATTTGGGAATAACCCAATGGACAATTGAATTAAGCTGTTAAGGCACTCCGTCCTCAATTCTGGAAACGAAGTGCATGACGTTAAACTTAGTCTCTCTAGAGATTTCATCCCACTCATTTTAGGAAATGAAGTGATATTTTTACATCCACCCACAACTAGAGACTGTAGAGAACCCATCCCACTCATTTCAGGAAGTGAAGTGATATTATGGCATTCTTCCACAAATAAAGTCCGTAGAGACGTACAATACTTTAGCATTTCATTTGGCAAGTTGCTCAACTCACGGCAATCTGTAATTTTCAATATCTGAAGGGAACGAAGACCTTCTTGTCCATTTTGATACAAAATTGATTGCAGTTTTTCACAACCAGATATTTTCAATTCCTCAAGAGACTAGAAGCTACCTAGGTCATAGGGTAATTCCCTCAATCCAGAACAAAACGAAATTTCCATCTTTTTAAGAGAAGCTCTGCTGCCCCGCAAGTGGGGAACATGAGCCAACTTTTCACATGCAAATAACACCAAATATTCAAAGGCAAGGAAATACCAGTGTTCCGCTCATTTGTGCTTCTTCCCACTCTTTTAGTTTCGGCATAAACCGTACTGCTAAATTTTTCAGTGACGGGAATGATACTCTTGTCTCTTGGCCATCGTTGTTGCTAGTTGAGCTACAATCACTCTCTCCATAGAATGATGATCTTATCGATGTTACGTTATCCAGATGCGTGATATGTAGATACTTGAGGAGTGGTAGGTGGCCGAGCACTGGAATTTCTTTGCAATTGTCACAATACATAAGTTTGATCTTGATCAATTTATCAAATATCACCAGAGGGCCACAATTGTCTTTATCTATTCTCATATTTCTAGTCCAAAATGGAAAGTTTTTACCTCAGAATCCATCAATTGTTAGGCATTTTAGCTTTTCATGAGGTTGCAGCCCTTCAAGTACACTCTCTTCATTGATGTTACTTTCTGTGGAATACATTGACTCACTCTCATCATTGAAATACCTGTACCTAGTCCAATAAAAGTAAAACTGATAAATGTTTAGCTTTACAGCCATATCTGCATGCTCCGCTTCTGTTTTGCAACTCACCAATTCCAAATTCCGTATTTGTAGTTTGCCTTTTAATTTCTTCAACTTTCCCAGCTCATCGATTCGACAACCTTCCTTGTCACTCACACAAAATAATGGTAACGTTTGAAGGCAAGATAAACTTCCGATTTTAGGTGGCATCTCGAAATCATTGGTAACATATTGAGTATAGAGATGCTTTAAACGAGTCAAGAATTGCAGATCTCTAGGAAGCCTTTGAAGCTTATAAGAACTGTAGCGCCGTAGAATCCTCAAAGTTTGCAAATTGTAGAGCTTGCAGATAGATTCTGATAGAGTAGTGAGATCATTATTGTCGGACACATCAAGATATCTCAAATGTTTCAGTGTGCCAACTGATGTTGGCAAAATTCTTTAATATTTGCATCACATAGCTTTAGAGAATGCAAATGCTTGAAGTACGACAAAATTCCATCGGTACGCTGCTTCTTAAGAACAAGGTACGGAGATAACTTGCTCTCTCTTTTATGTCCTTGACTATTTCCTCTCCAATTGATTCTATTGCAAGGTGTCTAACTTGAAGAATGTCATCAACAGTGCGAACCTCCGTATTCATGAAACTTTCTGATTTCGAAACTAAACATGCAAGATCATGGACAAGATCGTGCATCTTGCAGCTTATGATATTGCCATACTTGTCCTTTTTGGGCTCTTGGAAGAAGAAATTTTGCAACAAAATATTAAAATATTTATTGCCTGTGGTCTCCATCTCACTTTCTTGATTGTTTGAAAGAAGTCCTTCCGACATCCAGAGCTGGATTAAGTCTTCTCTATCCATGATCGAATCCTTGATAAATATTGAGCAATAGACAAAACATTTTTTAAGTGATGAAGAAGGTAAGCGATCGTAGCTTACCTTTAAGACTTGCAACACACCCTTCTGACCCTCTTCAAGATTTGAAAGCCCAGATTGTAGAATAGAAGTTTACCTCTTCCAATCACATTTGCTGCTAGAGCTAAACTTCTACATTTGCGAGCAATCTCCAGCCCAGTAATCTCAAATTGCTCGGGTACTTCTTTATCTTGAAATGCCAGTGTTCTGATTATGGACCAGCAATCACCTTCTGTCAATGACCTGGAGCGAGATGGATGATCACAAGTGTTCACAATAGATACCACATTTTCCTTACGCGTGGTGACGATAATGAGTTTTCCTTTATTGGAACTAGGTCCCATCATCGTATTTTTGAAAGCATTCCAAACGTCATCTTCTTCATTCCATAAATCATCAAGAACAATCAGGTATCTTTTGTCTTTTAGTTCCTCTGCTATCTTTTGAACAAGAGCTTCTGTGCTACCACCAAAATCTTTGCCCAATAATTCCAGGATCCTTTTGAAAATCATCATCTGATCAGAATATTCCGATACACAGAGCCAAATCCTTTTGTCAAAATGGGTGTGTACGAGGGTAATGGAAGATCTTGAGTGCTAAAGTTGTCTTGCCAATTCCTCCCATTTCGACTATGGGAAGGACTGAAAGGACATTATTGATTGAGCAGGTTATCGTCTCCAGAATTTTTGATTCATTTCTTTCTCTTCCAATGACAATTGGATCAGCAGTGAAGCTGGTAGTGTCATTGACTAGAGGCCGTGCATGAGCATATTCTGTAACTCTCTTCAGGCGAAGTTTATCAGCTTCGTTGTTTTTCCTTGTGAAATTGGCATTTATGTCCTTGATTTTATGAGCCATCTTCCATCGAAATGCCAAAGTGGTATTAGTATAGCAAGGGATGTTTAAGCACCCCTTTGGCTTAATCTTGTACTGGGTCTGGATTGTACGACGCAAATCTTCATATTTGATCTCGTCCAAAACATTGTCAGCATCATATGCAGCATCTTTGAGGTCCTTCAGCCAACTTTTAACAACACTGTCAGTGATTTCGAGCCTCTCAACATCTTCCAAGACTTCGTTGATCATTTTCAAGTATTTTTTCAGATTTGCAAATTCTTTCTTGAAACCGTGCACAATTTTGAATTCTACAGATGCTATCTTAAACAATTTCTCTAGTATAAATCTTACACCTTCGGTAGCGATAGCTTCCATTTTTTCTTGCTTTGAAAATTTGGTGTGAGTGATTGATCGATTTCGGGAGGTAGAGAAAGAGAGAGGTGGATACAATTGCAAAGTGGAGCTGTTTGTGGGGCAAATGATTCTTTTTCTCTATTTAGAAAGGGTTTACAAATTCTTTCCTCAACTTTAAAGTAACAAATTATGATACTTAGACCATTAATCATTACATCCACTTCCTTTGGCATAAAGTAAAGAATTATGATATTTTTGAAAACCATTAAAATAAAACTCTCTTTTTTTCTTTTTTTCTATTTTGGGTTTTTTTTTAACTCATTTTCAATAATACGTGCCCACAACAAAATGCTTTGCATGTAAATCCATAACTTTTACCAACTTTTTAACCACATATTCTAAAAAAATTCACTATTTCAAAACTCATTTTTTTCTCAAAATAAAATCATTTTAATAGTTTGAAACAGGATCTTAAATTGTTAATCACTACGTCCACTTCCATTGGCGTATAATAATGAATTATGACACTTAAACCATTTATCAATCCACTTTCCTTACCATAAAGTAAAGAATTAAGATGATTAACATTTAAATATATTGATTGGTTATGTACTTTTTAAAGTCATGGCATAATGATAATATCGAAAACTTTTTTTTTAATCAAAGAATACTAAAATTCATATATATATTTTATGAATTTTTATTATTTATATATTTAACTAAGTTGATTTGAATTTTTTATTCTTTTAAAAGTATTTTTTATTACTTGGGAGAAAGGGAATGCTGGAGGTCGAACCTCCACTTCCTATGTGAGAACATCCACTTTTGCAATCTACCGATGTGAATTTTACTTTAAAAGAAATTTTTTGAAAATCTTATAGATTCTATAAAAGTTTATACAAATTTTAGAATAAAAGTATATTAAAGTTTATGAAATACTTTTATTACCTCCATACAAATCTATAAAAATTCTACAAATTTCATAAAAGTCCATGCTTAAAAAGTCTCTAAAAATATTTAAAAGTCCCAATTAAATACATCCCTTAATTATCCATTTGGGAAAAAAAAGGTTACAATTAAAAAATTAAGAAACTAATTGTACTCACTACTTTTGAAATTCTAAGTGAGTAATTATATACATACTACATTTTTTGTTAATTGCAACTATTTTTAATGTTTTCAACTTTTGTTCATTTTCGTACTTGTGTTCATGAACTTTTCACCTGATTAAGATATCTTCTGATATTTGAACTCTATTAGCATGAGGAAAATATTTTAACAAACTTTCATATTTGTTCCGTCCTAATGAATTTTTTGGCAATCAACGCGGAGAATGTGTATTAATTAATAAAGTATTTATTCCATTCTAATGGATTATGATACTGATGGATATTCACATCAAAATATTTTCTCATTTATTTTGAGTCGAGTTTCATATAAAGAAAGTTCAACACTTGAGTAGGTTCAATGGTCTACGTAAGTTGTACTTCTATTAAGGGATGTGGTCTTGTATCTTAAGAGATGAGTGTTGGAAATTCATTAGCACTTGGACTGGTTATTTTTATTTTGAGGAGAAAGAGTCAAACTCTTAATAGAAAGTCGTTAGTACATGTGCGGTGACAGATGGAGGCTATGATAAGGTCATAGGTGGGTTTGGTTTGGTTGTGGGGGATGGCATGGAATGGGATGGGATGGATATGGAAGAAGATGAAATTTTTTTTTTCCTTTTTTTTCTTTTATTAAATTATTTTATGGGGAAACATATAGTGATGAATTTGCCACTTTAAAAATTAGTGAGAATAAGGTTAGACGTTTGATTTTTTATCAATTAACAGATTTTTGGATGGAAATTGTCCCAAGATCCTTTTGATGTAAAATTTTGGAAGATTTGGGACCGTCGTTGCTGAAATTTAAAAGTTTGTATGTCTGCATATTTAAAACAGCTTGAGGACCTCTGCTGCAATTATCCATTAATCTATTGTTGCTCAATAGGTGAGTTTGAATAAGGCCCTATTTGATTGGGGTCGTTTTCCATGGAAAATGGAAAAATTTTCATCTTTTTTGGTGTTTGATTGCATTTCTTTTTTATGGAATTCATTTTCCATATTTTCTTCACACGTGTGCATTTTCCTTGTTTTGGTTTTTGGTGAGAATTGGTTTTCCACCTTTTTTTTTTCATTTTTGTTTTTTATTTTTTATTTTTGGCAATGGGAACAAATTCTAAGAACAATTGTAAAGAAGATATCCCTTAAATTGAAAATTTTCATATAAAATAAAGCCAAATGAACACCAAAATGCAGATGATTTTCAGATCTTTTTTTTTTTTTTTTTTTTGGTAATGGAAACAAATCTAGGACCAATTGTAGTAGTGACTATGCCTTAAATTGATAATTTTCATGAAAATCAAAACCAAACGAATATCAAAAGACACTTTTATTTCAACATTTTTCACGTGAAAAATTATACCAATCAAACAAAACAATTGACAATTCTCAGCAAAAAAATTTCTAGGCAATTCAATTCTCTGGAATTCGTTTTCTTTCTACTCAAATTCTGTCTTTGTAATCAAACGGACCCAATATTTTAAAACTCAACTTGACCAATAGGTTGACCTAAAACCAGCAACCTAGTTCTGCCAATAGATCAAGTTCTTAATTGGATCCGATTGTTCTCTAACTCATTTGTATTGGGTAGGTTTTACATAAAATCAAGGGAAATTTTCATATATAAGAGATTAAGCCCTTGTTTGATCCCCATTACGTGGAAAAATTAATGGGGGAAATAGTATTTTTTTGAAAAATCAGTGGTTGAAAAAGAATGAAAAGTTTTTGATTTACGTATAATATTATTTTATGGAAGATTGTATTGTTGAAAATAGGAGAGAGAAAAATGAAATGTAATAGAATTTAATGTAATGGGGCTCAAACAGGGGCTAAGTATAGGGCATTTCAAAAATAAGAAAACAAGTATCATATTTCACCAATCAGACATTAGCGTAAAAATGAATACAATTATTAATTTAATTAAAAATGGAAAACAATCATGCACAATTAGCATGAGTTACTGTAACAGGAGGATTCTCCAAAAAAAAAAAAAAAAAAAAAAAAAAATCATCTCTTCAACTGATTCCAATGGCCAGAAGATCTGAAAATACATCCAATTTACCTCCGACTCTCATGGAAGTGATGGTAAAAGCGAGTTCTGGCCACAAATTGCAATTGCCAGGTCGTATTACCTCGAATTAAAACACGAGTCCTCGATCAGTCACTAATACGTTACTTCAACCTGTAATTCAGAAAGTTTACATTTATCAGGTGTGTAATTATGATTTATTGATTATAATTTGTCGTTTATTCATGCTACACAAGCTTCGATTGATGAAAATGTGATTTTTAACAGAACTATGATCGTGAACATCATACAGTGTTGTTCGAAACTGTTGTGACCATTATGAAAAATATATGATTGGCTATTCATAAGATGTGACCTCATGCAACTAGTATGCATGGGTGTTTGTGTCTCGAAATGTGTGACATGTGACGTACTGCATTTGTGTCATGTGATATTAATGCTCTTGTTTGAATCTAATCATATGCTATCTACACTTAGTTATCATTATTGATTATTGCACATAATTGTGATTTAATATGCACATATCGCCTACATGTATTCCATATGTGACCATGATATTCAAGATATGACATACATTTTTTGTGACCTGTGATCACTTAACAGAATTGTGACCTACCTGCAATTAACTGTGACCAATATACAAAGACTTGTGGCCACTCTTCAACAGTACGTGACCAATATACAATGACCTGCAACAAATATGCAATGAACTGTGATCACTCGCAAAAAAATTCTGGAATATAAAAACAGGTGACCTGCATGTATTCAATACGTGACAATAATACTTGAGATTCGACATATGTTTGTTGTGACCTTTGATAATTTAACATAATTTTGACCCATTGCAATTAGATGTAATTATAATTGGATGTTTGATTGATCATATTTTTGTTCATTTTGTAGAAATGGGGTTCATTCACGTATGTCTGTTGAATGGATCACAAATGTCACTAGTGTTGATTGATCGTAATTGAGAGTATTTGAGGCTTGTCGACACAGTTATAAAAGAGTTTAACTTTGACCCTACAAAAGTTGCTGTGACAATCAAGTATGTCTTGAATAGTGATATGCCTCCAATAATAATCAAAATTGACGATAATGTGTTATCGTACATGGTTTTGAAGGATATGAATCATGACTTTACCAAATATCCAATTCACATCGAGGTCACAACTGCAGATATCGAAAAAAGCCTATTGTGCTATTAGTTGATGTTCAATCGAATGAACATGGGTTTTTATTAACAGATATGTCATCAGATATATCCACAATAGTGGATCCATCTATTGACAAGTTTGAACATGAGGTCACAATTGTGGCGGTGACAGATGTTAGGGAGGTAGAGGAAGGAAGAGTTTTTCGTAACAAGAAGAATATGAAATTAAGCTTGTCGTTTTATACAATCCAAAATATGTTTGAGTACGTGGTTGTTCGGTTCGATAAGAAAGACTATCTCGTGAAATGTTTACGTGATGAGTGTAATTGGACATGTAGAGCATTGAAGTTAGCCATAATAGATATGTTTAAAATCAGACACATTACAGAAGGTCACACATGTGCTTCAAACATCGTACTCAGTACTCATAGGCAAGTAACAAAGACAATTGTGTCAACCTGCATTAAGTACAAGTACACATCGTCACGCACCGTATACACACCGAATGATATTCGCAACGATATGCTGCATACATATGGAGTATCTTTGAACTATATCAAAACTTGGCGATCTCGAGAGGAAACTTTGAAAGTGCTAAGGGGTGATCCAACTGATTCATTTAATAAGATACCAGCCTTTTTTCTGTGCTACAGTAAACAAATCCTGGATCGATCACAAGCCTAGAAATTGACGATCACAATAGGTTTAAATATTACTTCATGGCACTAGGTGC